AGTGCCTCGGCTACTTCTCCAAACACGCTGCCAGAGAGGAAGGAGACTCCTAATCGCATCAGAACTTTTATGAGGGCCTCAACCTTGCCCTTCAGGCTTCCCCAGACAAAGTGTTTGTTACAGCTCAGGATTAGCAAACCAGAGCTTTTCCAGGCATGTGAAAGACCAGCCATCACGCTGCCAGACAAGCGAAGCCGAGGGACTCCACCGCATGTGAACTGCCGGGAGAGAACCGCACTCGCGTATCCCACCTGCACCCTGCCGAGACACGCAGCAAGCACGCACCGACATGCAGAGGAGAGGGGACCTGCACCACAGTCCTTCAGAGGGCTCAGCTCCTCAACAAAAGCCTTCCCACTACGCTGCTGAGGGGCAGCTGGGTGCGGGTGCCTTACAGGAGCTCAACACCTCAAACCTCAGGTGTTGCTCTGAGGCGTTGGGAAGGAAATTCCTCACAGCTCCTTTTGACACTCGGGAGATGCTCAGGCGCCCTGCTTAGCACCCTCTGCACGGCGGCTCTCTGGCTCTTAAGACTCAGCTGAGTTGCAGAATGGTAGAGCTCGTGCCTCCGCGGCTCCTGGGAGGCGTGCAAGATGGCACAGACCACTGTGAACTCTGCCACGGCCAGCAGGGAAAGGGACTCACAGCCCACGCTCAGCCTGAAAGCAAATTACAGGAGGTGGGCTCCTTGGCCCCGAAGAGACGTTTAGGGCAACAGCCCTGGGCTCTTCTCAGATCCTTGCAGATCGCAGAAGGCTGCAGAAGGAGGCTGCATCGTTTCCCACCTGGGAATCCGCGCTCAGCTGCCTTCACCACTTCCTCAAGTCAGCAGTTTCTCCTGGATTCTCAGCATTTTTCCTGCACGATGGAGGAGCAGGCAGCAGTGAATGCAAGAGCCCCACCTTCTGCCAGATAGAAAAACTGCTAGGAACATAACCCTATTTGTTTTCAGGCAGACAGCGGCAAACAGTGACTTCTTCATCCTCCAGGATCAAGATCCCATGGCACTAGCGAAACCGGAGTTAGTCAGAGTCTCTTCAGATGAGCTAATTGGCTTTGGATGTCCATTAGGCCACAGCGCAGCCGTGGACATGCAGCAGTGCCAATTCGAGCAGTCCCCACCCTTCCTTCTTCCCCCGTAGCACAAGGGGGAAGCTTGTGCAGCCACACGGCAAACTCGGTTGGAATTTGATCCAGTTAATAACTGTTTCTGCAGGGCTGTGCTCCAGCCAGATCAGTTCGCTGATCCGGTTCACTATGCAGCTACAAACGCTGCTACGCTGTAAGGACGGGAGCCAGAACTGCTTAAACCGGCTCAAGCTGCGCTGCTGCTCCAGACGTGCAACGACAGCCTGGGAGGCCGGAACAGGAATAAACCAGGCTCGGATGGTTCCTAGGGCAGTGGCAGGGGAGGAGGGCATATCGGCAGCAAAGGAAGAGCTGGTGACTCACTGACACTCCCCAAGGCCGAGCGCTGCCCTCTGCCACCGCCCGGGAATCTGGAGGCGAGGGGACATCAAGGCAATGCCGCTGCACCAGTCACTTTGTAAGAGCATCCCAGAGAACTCTCATCTCACCTGATCCTGACCCCCGCCACTGGGTCACAGCCCTGGGGATGAAGGCTTCTGGAAATGGTCTGCTGCCTTTCAGGGACTCAGCAGTTTGGAGATGTAAGGGGGTTTTTTTGGTTTGGTTTTTTTTTTTGTTCGTGACATAACCCTGGAGTGCCGTTCAGCTCCAAGATGTTAACCATCAAGAGCAAAACCAAAGGCACGAGCAGACAGTTCCACGCCCTCACAGCTTCAGAACTTTAAAACACTCTCGCAGCCCTATACGTGGGTAAACGGGCTGCAGTCTGGCTGCAACCGCCGCCCGTGTGGCGACCCCGGCACTGCAGCCACGGTCACCACCGAGAACGTGACCCACCTGTACAAATCACCGCTCATCCCCACAGTGGAACACTACAATGAAACCGCCTCTGCTCGGCAGTTATGGGACACGAACACCCACAGTGGAAGAAGGCTTGGACAACCAGAGCAACAAAGCACTCTGGACTAGACCCAAAACCCTCAGGGCGACAATTTAGCCGCTTAGCATAACTGGGAGTTCTTCTTGTCTTAAGAAAAGGAAGTTACAACTTTCAGACTTGTTGCAAAGGGCCTACGGAGCCAGGGAAGACGTCGCGATCCTTCCAGCAGGGCTGTAAAGGAAGGGGGAGAACCGATACCTCCCGCAGGAGCCGAACTGCCGCCTTCATGCACGTGGCCCCTGCTGCTTTAAAATGCGCCCTGCCTACAGCGTTAAGGGGGATAAACCGGGCTCTTTAATTACCCTAACACGGAAGGAAATCGACCCTGAGGAAGTTGCTTCCAAGCGCCTCATTTCGTAACCAGAAGCTATTTACGGAAAATCTGTTTGAGACAAACGAGAGCGCTTGCACCTCCCAACGCCCTGGAAAGCAAAAAGGGCCCGCGCTCCTCCTCACCGCCCCCCGCGGCCCAGGCAAGGAGAGAAGGCTGCGGGGAGGGCTGGGAGCAGCGCCCGCTCCTCCGGGGAGCACGAGCCGCCCC